ACCAAAATAAATTACATAACTTTTTTTCGTTGCCTGCTTTTTATTATTAACAAATAATTGTTTTGATTTGTGATATTTTCCAGTAGTCAAGTACGTTCTTTTACTTCAATTTTTTTTTCTCTCACTTCCATAGTTTAATTTTAATCAATGAAATAATATAATAGCAATGTTCGTGTTTTTTTTCTTTCAAATTCCTCTTGTGTGCATATATTATTATTATTATTATTATTATTATTATTATTTGTTCATGTTTAATTTGATTTTGTGTCATTATTTGATATTTTGGAAGGAGATCAATTTTTTTATTTGAAAGATGATAGGACTATTAATATCGTGATGATTCAAATGTTATGAACATGACTATTAATTACTCTATGAAATATATATTACACATTACCAAAGAATTGTAATATTGTTTTATATACTTTCCTTGAAAACCCCATTCCTAAGAATGATGTGTTCGAAGAGATTGCAATTATAAAGAACATGAATCATCAAATTCAATAGGTATTCACTATTCTTGTCGATTTTTTTTTACTTATATATACATTTTTGTTTATTGTTATTTATATAATTTTCGAATGATGGTTGCAGCTCAAGGTTGATACTCAAATTATATTTTCATATCATTAATTTAATAAATATGTGATTATTATTGAAATTTTTTTTTTGTCTTTTTCTAATTTAATTTTTTTATTGTTATGGAGCTTGTGAAGAAGTAATGAAAACATCAAAATTAATGGAACAATGATAATTATTTTCTATTCGTAAAAAAATATTAATATGTTTGAGTAAAATGTTGTTTCACTATTTAAGAAGACTGTTTAATTTTTATTTAAGTATTTTTTAAAATATATTTTATTCAATACAGAATTTAATATATTTTGCATAATTTTTTGTATAAATTTCGTGCCAAATCTTAGCTAAATTATATAAATTATTAGCTACAATTTTCATTGAATTGGAGCTTGTGAAGAAGTGATGAAATCATCAAAATTAATGGAACAATGACAATTATTTTCTATGGTAAAAAAATATTGATAGGTTTGAGTAAAATGTTGTTTCACTATTTAACAAGACATTGTTGAATTTTTATTAAGTATTTTTTAAAATATATTGTATTCAATACACAATTTAATATATTTTGCATATTTTTTTATATAAATTTCGTGCCAAATCTTAGCTAAATTTTATAAATTATTAGCTACAAGTTTCATTGAAGCTACAATTTATATTTCAAGAGTGAAATTTTAGTTATGAAATTGTAAATTTGTAGCTATCCATATACTTATATAATTGCCACGTATAAAGAACATGACTTAAAAATTTAATTGCCGTAGCAAATAATTATTATTAAGCTCCAATATTATATATTTCATGGCTAAAGGTAAGAATTCTTAGCTACAATATAAAAATATTTGCAACAAATACGTTAAGTAATAGCTATGAATTTTTATAGTTCATAACTAAATATGAGTATTATTGCCACGAGATAAGTTACAGATTAACTACAAAATTCAAATTTCTCATAGCAAACAAATTAGATATTTTGCTACAGTACAACATCTTGTGGCTACTATATCAAGATAGCTATTAAATTTTATTTGTCATTGCACATGAATAAGATAAATTGCTATAAGTTTACATTTTGTGGCAGAAACTTATTTCTATATATTACAGCTACACAATTTTTATCTTTATAGCTATAAGTATAAATTCTTAGCCATGGATCATATAAATTTGTAGCTAACTTTTAGCTACATATTGCTACCAAACTAAATATAATAGCTATATATAGTATTTAACCATATAAAATTTGATATTTAACTACAACGTATTTTGTAGGAGTCCGAAACTAAAACGGTACGAAATTTTAACAAAAATTCCAAAACGGTAAATAAAATTTTATATTAATCAAAACGGTAAAATCGCTGCAGGCGCAGCGACTTACCTCACCTGAAAAAGTAAAATTGCTGCTGAGGTAGCGATTTTGCAAAAAATTAT